AATAACCTCTTATATCAAACTTTATTTATTATTTCATTTGACTCAGATAACTAAAGTAAAAAATTATTCAAATAAAAAACAGATTGTAGCCGATTCCAAAACAAAGACAGATCGGGTATTCCACACTTCATAATTAATATACTCTCACGTATATTCATTCTCTTTTCACTCATACCCGGTACAGAACACTCCATATCAAACATGTCAAATAATCCTAGGGACTAAACAAACGTCGGTCGTCCGACATCACACCTTCCTTGCCGCGAATACGATTTTTCATCGAAGGTGAAAAATCGTCGCTCAGAATCCATAAGTTCTATATTCTTGCTCGCGTACACCAATTGTTTGTTATGGGAAGTGCTTGGTGTGTCAGTTGGATTTTCTTGGAATCTCACAGACAGTTGCATGTCACTAGACGTTCGCGTTTGTCACTGTGTGTTTCAGTTAGGATAGCGAGAGCTGTATATATGATGTTGTAAACGCTCGGTATGTTCTTCTGGATGTAGACTTTTTTTGTCTCTAGATTTGGTAAGAAGAAAGGACGAATGATGCGCCGGTAATGCTGGCGTTGCAACTCGAGTTTTTGCAAGTTTTAACTTATTACTATGAATAATTTTAGATCTTCGCCAAAACATTATTTTTACGTTGTAATTATCTAAGATTTCTAAAACGTGAAAGGGACCAATGTATTCGGAGTCGAATTTGCCTTTCCAAGGTTCTTTAAAGAGGTAAATGTCACCCGGGAGAATTCGCTCTGCGTTAGTCTTTCTATCGTAATAAGATTTTGATCGGATTTTTGCTTCATTTAGTTTATCACGTGCTCGTTCGATAGATTTGATTATTTTGGTCTGTAAATCCCGAAGATAGGCATCGTACGTATCTTTTCTCGTTTCTTCGAAGGAAGTGTGCAGAGCGGACACGGGCAAGTTTTCCGAATATCAATTCGTGCGGTGTGAACTTTGTTCTCTCATGTATACTCGTGTTATAACTTCAACTATTCGTCTCATTATTATGGGTAATGTAGGAAATAATTTGACACAATGTATTTCCTATTAATAATTAATCATCTATTTAAACTTAACGACTGGCTCGGACGTGCGCTCTCTGCCACGTCTTACAGAAAACCAACATCTACTTTCATTCTCAAGTTCGTGTACTCTCCTCGGTCCAACTCTTATACCCTAGCTTGGTTTATAAACATCTGAATCAGCCCATGGTCCTGAAAATCACTTCGCCTGGTTTTTTCTACAAAATAGGCGAGGGAGTCATCTCACACCAAAGAACGAGCGGCATTGTTAATACTCGCTCACAGTGATATAGTGCTTTAGATATTCTTTAAGAACGTTATGTAATCGCTTTATGGAATCGTTACTTTACGGATGGAATGCGGTAACTTTATATTAAGAAATTTTGAAACGTTGCCATTGAACGAAAGTGTGTACTCATAAAGTTTGTTTTTTGATCTGTGAGGATTGCTTTCGAAACGTCGAATTTACAGATAAATGAATTAACTAATGTGTCTGCTGTTTCATAGATTGACGGATTTTGAAGAGGAGTGACAAAAGAATATTTAGTTAAAAGATCTTGGAGTATGTAGGAATTTCCGGAAAGAGTTGCTGGTAGTGGTTCAACTATGTCCAAGAAAATTTTATTGAAAGCTTGACTGGGAGTGTCTGTCAGAGTCATAGGCTGTCATGTTTTTACGCGGATGAGTTTTTGCAATTGGCAGCTAGAACATGCATTCAAATTTCGAACATTCAGTGATAGCCAATAGTATCTTTCGCGTATTGTATAATTGTCTATATGTTTCTGATATTCCCTTACATCTGCCGAATGTGGAAACGTGATTTTTCATAAATATTTCGGTCCGATGGTCCGGCGGAAGCGTTATAATTTCATTGTAGTATGCAAAAATTTGGACGTTAGTTTGCGCGAAAAGATCCAACAATATGCCCTTTATTGAATACCATGCCTTCTGGTGAAAATTGAGAGATAGAAAATGACGACAGTCCTAATTCTATGGTTACGTCGTAAAGTGAAGCATTCCAAAAGATTTTCGTGTATGATGCTATTTTTTTTTTTTTTTTTTTTTGAACGTTTTATTCGTGCCAGTGAATGACAATAATCATAACGTACAAAAGATTATAAATTATTACTATTTTCTTCTTAGACTAAAGGCTCCATCCCTGGAGCACGCACAGTCTTAAGTTGAAGGTTATATTTCTGCACTTATTGCTACATGATCCTTAATTCTAGATAAACTAAATTTATACTATATCTATGGATTTTTTTTTTATTTTTATTATGTAATAAGGTAATTGTACAATATTGTAATTGTACAATATTTCAAGGGTAAAGTAGGAGGATGGGGGGGGGGGATGGGAACTCTATTCTTATATATTGCGATTTACTGTACCATTGCACTTTTGGGCCCGGTCAGTCCCATGAGGCCTTAACAAAAATTGCTTTATGGGGCTAACTGTAGTGCCCCGGGGTGCATATCTCACGTTGTATTTTTTTCTTTTTGTTATCCTCGGTACGGTCCCAGGTCGGGAAAGTATTGTTTCTTTCTTTTTTTTTTTTTATTATAGCCACCAATATTTTTTATTGTTGTATTTTATTTTCACGTCGTGCTCCGTTTGTGTTTGTATCGTATTTCGGGGTCGCAGGATGATAAATTACCGATGTATGGTATAGTTTTATTGTTGATTTTTCTGTTGTAGTGGTAGATGATTGGGAGATTTTCGTTATGTTGAATGTGTGATGTTTTTTGTCTGTGATGAGTTGGGGTTTCTGTTCATTTAAAACTGGATGTCTAGTGATTCTGCTATGACGGTGACTTTGTTGGAGTTGACTTCTACTTGTTCTAGAAGTCGTGCCATTTGGTTTTGTACTGTTGTTTCTATGATTGTTCTTATTTGTTCTATTAGTGTGTTCTGGTTTTGTTCTGGTATGGTGTGTGTAACTGTTTCTTCGTGTTTTCCTTCGTTTGTTGTTCTGTTTCCTGTTATTATTTCGCTGAATGAAATTCATTGTTTTATAAAATTATTTTTTATTTCGTGTTTTTTCTCTTTTTGCGCTCTTAGGGCTGCTTTCTTTTCTTCTATTTTTAATTTGAGTTCGTTAAGTTTCGGGCATCCTCTGTATGAGGCAGGGTGTCCGAAGCTTTTGCAATTGGTGCAGTATGGTTGTGTGTCCGGTTGGAGTTCCCTGTTGCGCGGGCATTCTCCTGGGTTGTGGGGGATATTGCATTTTACGCAACGATACTCTAAGTTGTAGTTTGCGGCTATGTGTCCAATTCGTTGACACCTCATGCATTGTATACGATCTTTTTTTGCTATTTTTTCCCATTTTATATAGGTGTGTAGTATTGTTTTTATTTGTTTTAAGTTATTTGTGTTACTGTCTGGTGAGATTTGTACTATATATATATATATATATATATATATATCAGTAGGGCTTTTTTCTAGTTCTGTATCATACGATTTAGCGTAATTTGAGATTGCTACTTGTACCTATTGATTTGTTTTTGTTGATGTCATTTCTTTTTGTTCTTTGTTCTTCAGGGATGTCTCCGAGGGACTTCACCTTGTAGATTTCCGTTCTGGATTTTCTCTTTTTTTTTCTTCTTTGTTTTTTGCACTGCGGTGAACTTGTTTGCACTGTTTTCTATTTTTTTTCCTCTTTCTATTTTTTATTAATGCTTTTTTGCATTTGTACGCACTACGCTATTCACTTACCAAAGGTATACTTGTCTCGAACTCTCAGGTATCGCAGGGTACGTCCGCACTCTGTGAAGGTCTAGGCGAGAATATTTATATTAAATTGTATTATGAATTAAAAATAGGTCATATTACACTAATATCTGTAAACATTTCATCATCGTATCATAGAGCATCGGTGGTTCAGTGGTAGAATGCTCGCCTGCCACGCGGGCGGCCCGGGTTCGATTCCCGGCCGATGCAATTTTTTTTTCTCTGATTAATTTTAATTACAATTTTTGTAATATATTATATTTTATTACTATTTCTAATAATTTTAAATAATATACGCATCACTGGTTTCGGATACATTTTCAAGACCACGATTTTATTTACATATAACTATTGTCTGATCTTCCTACTTACAAAAAAATTAATTAAACTACACTGTATTATTATACATTGTGGTGCACATAATTGCATTTGTAAGAAAACGTTAAGTTGAGTTAAATTTGCGGAAGAATTGTCTGGTTTTCGTTACTGAGTTCAAAAAACATAAAGCGACAGTATTTGAGGATGCCATATCGCATAGAAGACCTAACAAATTTGTGAATGGATGAAATATTTCAATAATTTTGGAGTAGTATCATGTAACTTAATTGAAATACTAATATTGATCAAAAGTATTCTAAAACAAAAAATAAATTAGCATGTATTGAAATTTATTTAGTAAAGATATAAATAGATAATATTTGATAGTACTTTATGTAGCATCGGTGGTTCAGTGGTAGAATGCTCGCCTGCCACGCGGGCGGCCCGGGTTCGATTCCCGGCCGATGCAAGAATTTTTTTTTCTTAATTATAATTTTACAATTTAACATAATCTTAGCAATATATATTTTATATTTTATGAAAATTATTGTAACTTTATTAAATTAACATTACAATTATCGCAATAACAATCAGTAATTTATTTATGATAAAAAGATGAAATAAAACATCATGATCAAAAACTAATCTATCAATATTAAAATGGAAAATATTTCTGCGAGAAGAAAGAATCATTCTAATTGAAGTATTTCAAAAGGCACTGGATTAAATGCAAGAAACCGGAAAATCACGTTGTGTAACTCAGATATTCTTATAAGGATTCTTAACTAAATATTAAATATTCAGTTTTTGTTATATCGCCTTGTACTTTAAAATATATTTCGAATTGGAATTGAAAAAAAACCATTGATGATTAAAAATTGTATTGCATGAAATTGGATTTTAGGATTTTTGAAAGGTGAAATTGTATTTAAAAGACACATGAAATAACATACATAATTTTACAGTATGAGTATACGTGCTTGTTTCACTGTATTGGACCCTGTAACCAAGCTTCTGTGTTATGTACAAGCTACATTTCATAGATGGTCGTGTATACGTATAAATATTCAAACTGACGCAGTGATTCTCAAACTCGATCAAACATTTTAATCGAGAAAGATAATCATGTATTTACGGCGTGTATGCGAAATACCTCCTCTATTATGAACACTAATTAACGTTGATTAAATTTATGTACAAGAGTCAAGAATTACGAGAAATATTCTTAGATGTAACAGATATGAGAGAAGAAGAGAGGATATATTTTCGTCGTGAAATAAATATTATTTTTCTGGTCTCTTCGTGGACCATCTTTGTCATCGATTAATTTCATTCAACGAAAATCGACCAGTAAGCGAAGTTAATAGGCATCAATTATTACATAAGCCAGATTGCTGTATTCCGTAAACTGTCTAGGGTTTGCGTGTATGAATGTTTTATTGGCTACTACCAGTTGCATGAACACTTCAGAGGTCGATATCGAAAGCCATAAGTTTAAAACCTGGAAATTGAACTGGAGGAACTGCTTGTTACAAGACCGTGTGAGAGTTCAAAGTTTATATGCATTTCTCATCATTAAATCAAAATAAGCATCGTGGTCGATACTTGCACTAATGGCGCTATAATAGTTCATAAACTCTTCTTCGGTAACCTGTAATAAGAATTGTGAATACTGTAATTCGATCAAAGCAATATTTATCATTTTCTAGATCGACTGACTGAATTACTCTAGTAAGGCAATCTCTTTTTTTTCGTCTTTGCTACTACATTGCAGATTTTTATATTGCATTTGTGCGAAATTTAAACGTACAAAAATGCTTAATAATTCGTAAATACTCGTAATGCGCATAAAAACACACTGTTTATTTATCATATTATCAATTATTATCTAAAAATTTTCTGATAAAGATAAGAAGATACTCACAATGCCATCTCTGGTATTATTCTGCTCGAAATTCCCCAGGAACTTGTTCAGAATACTTTCTTCGCTCTCTTCACCGCTGATGTAACGGGGATGACATTTAACATTGTAAACTCCTTTCAAATCATCGACCGTGATTATTCCATCGCCAGTTTTATCAAGTTTTTTGAAGGCCTGATCCACCACGTTTTTGCGACTCTGAGACATCGGAGGCTAAAAAGAATTTTTTTCTTTCTCTTAATAAGCTAATAATTTATTTATCGATGTATCATACTTTGGAAAATACACTCACTCTTATGCCAACGATAAACTCGTCAACGCTGATGCTCCCATCGTTGTCCGTGTCGAATTTCTTGAACATGTCTTGAATATCCTCCTCTGAAAGTTCCAGGCCACTCTCCTCGATGCCTTTGGTGAATTCCTCCAGATTCAATTTTTTGTTTCCATCGTCGTCCATACGACGAAAAATTCTACATAAATTGACACACGCTATAATATAATAAATTATATTTCTCTGGAATTTTATAGCAATTTTGTTAAGCGTTATAGGACAACGCTGCACTGAATACTTTCCCGTAAAAAGAATTATTATTACTATAATATAATTAAATTACATTTCTCTGGAATTTTATAGCAATCTTGTTAAGCTACATTGAATACTTCCTCGTATGAAAAAAAAAAAAAGAATTATTATTCTGATATGAATTTCGAATTTTAGATTACATGTGTACGATGAAATAAAAAAGAAGCTGTTTACTTACCTGCCCAAGCCAAGGATGCCATTGGCACCTCTGGCCAGGCAGAGCAAACGAAGCTTTTCTACGGGATCCGTGGTGTTGTACAGGGCCCGTTGGGCCTTATTGATCATTTCAGTCTCTTGCCTGGTCGTCGCGCTCTGCGGCCTATTCAAGAACATCCCTGAAAGAGAAATCCACGCTATGACTCATGGCTATGACTCAGGTATCTGAAAAAGAGACAGTAAATCTATATTCAACACTTCGATTTTCTTATCTTAAGAAAAAAAGTAAACTATAAGTTCCAACTATAGACCTTGACTGTTTTAGGATTATTGTTTTATCCATTGAATCGGTTTACATGTTGGTCGCTATAATCAGTCCCTAATCTATTATTTCGATTCGATAAGGACAGAAATAGATGAAAGGTGGGAAACGTAAACTGGCGAAGTGGGAGTTGACATCAATTGCTTACGTTACGCTGTTTTCCCACTTTTGTTTTTTCCTTACTTCATATAAAGTTGCAACGCAATGTGTGCATGCTTCGATCGTTTTGTTAGTTAAACGTAATTTAATTTTCTTAAAGGCATCGTGAGGGATTTGCCCTCATTTGCTTAATTAATTAATAAGAAAAGAGCGATAACTCGTTGAAATTGTCCCCGTTGGAAGTCTGGAGAGAAAATATTGAACAATCGATCATCAAATGATTCTTGTTTTACACAGTTTTCCTAATAGATACAAACTGTTCTATCAGAGTGTCAGAAATAGTAAAATTGAGTAATATAATGACCAACCAAAAGATATTTATGCGAAAGTCAGTGAAGTTATTTATCAAAATCAATGGCATTGAAAAAAATTCGTCTTTTGGAACAAGTTGCAAAGATGTGCTTACATGTGCTTTGCTTATATTAATATAAAGTCTAAATATTGATAGATGATCCAGATTAAAATTTCAATTCTTCCTTTTTTTTTTTTTTTTTAATATACAAGCAATTGTATAAGTAATTTCTTTTTAATATATAGGCAATTTTTCCTATCTATATATCTTTAAAATTCTCCTTATTTACATTGGTAATTTCAAGTGATAGCCTCTATCACGATCATTCGGAATTTTAATTATTTATTTAATTTAATTTCGATTTAACTTACCTTGATATTCAGGATACGAGATCAAAGCTGCATGTACTGTTTTCTAGAATAATTCTGATCAACTATCGATGCGAAAAGAATTTGTAACTCCTTTGAGGAGAACAGGAAGGCAAGTGACAAGGGATTCTCCGGGCGCGAATCCGCGCCTTCTGTAAGTGGACACTATACATTGGATTGCACACGTGAATAGATAAAACACATTCACATATGAAAACGAGGTGTGTTTCACGTGTATATAAACTATGATAGTCTGTAGAACATGTATCCATAACGACCAACTAGTCACAACATGTGTATCAGAAAAAGATTAACGCGTGATCAGTCACCGATACCAATTTCCTGTCAATAATTCTTGCATGGTTTATTGCCATTAAAGAGTTAATGAATTCTATATTTAACTGTTAAACAATAGAATCGTACTTATAAAAAAAAAAAATCACCTCGACTCTTAAAAATAGAAAAACACTTTTCTCCTTACTTATCAAAAAAATAAATTTACTTCTATTAATACTAAAGTTAATGTAATTCGAAGTTGCTTCAATGTCTAATTATGTTTGAATAACGATCATATCCGGTCTTTGTTCCAAAGGATCTATTCTGTTGAACAATATGAATGTATATAGTTACTAGATGACAAGCAGTACAATATAAACGTATATATATGTGTCCAAAGTAATTTTGCGTCTGAAATAGTATAAACGATGAGATATCATAATATGTAACGAGATAATATTACTCTGACCTTAAAAGAAACATATATGTTTTAATTATAGGTTGATATTTTTCATTATAGATAATTATTAAATTATAATTTTTACTATCAAGTAAGTACAAACAAAGTAAAATTTCAATGTGCATTTTTAAATATATGTTACGTGTAAAAAAAAAATGAAGATCGAGAATTTCAATTGATTTTACCGGCAATTACAGTTGTCGGTAAGTTATCAACGTACTCATCTTCTGACGGTAACTACCGATCACACTAATCCTTCTCTCACATCAAAAATTTCGAACGTTTCTTTAAATGCGATCATGTTTTCATATTCAATTATCTTTAGTATCGAAGAATGTAGTTTTAGAAGAAAGTTATTTAGTTGATATTTCATTAAAAAGCAGAGAAATTTCAAGGGAATATTCTAGAATAGCAAGTGCCATGTGTTGCTTCCATCCACCAATCGGAAGAAGACATTTGGACCGACTTCTAACCGGCTTATGCCTTATTGGTTGATGTGTATTGCGTGGGTTCATTTCATTGGTGGCTTACAACAGTCTTCTATTACTATATCAAAGCGTCGCGGGCAAGATTATATGACAGTCGGCATAAAACAGTGAATCGTGGTATTTCGCTTTTTTTTCCACTACCGCTATTTGTGAATCTTGCACGGTAGCAATGAAAAAAGCGCTATTATTATTGTCGGTCCTGTTCTTTGTAGCAGGTGAGTTTAATAAAAAAAATTTTTGGTCAGAAGAGATAATAGTGAAATGTATGCGTTGATCAAGCAAGAGCATTAACATATACTTTTTGTTATTTAGGATTTGTTAAAGCAGAAAATTTGGAGGAGGATGTTGGAACCGTGGAAAACGATTTGGGTGCCAGCCGTGAAGGATCTCGTACTGGTGAGACACTTGTTCTGTTCTTTCTGTTGTCGACGTCGGCAGTTGCCGATTTCGATTAATTTTTTATGATGATTGTGATATAAACCAGATGTACATATGGAATTTTTATCCGATAACATCAACTACGAGACATGCAATTCGTTTAAGCATTAAAAGTGACTTCACATCTTATAAGTTCTGTTTTAATTTCCGCAGATAATGAAGTAGTTCAAAGGGAGGAGGAAGCAATCAAATTAGATGGATTAAATGTTGCTCAAGTAAAGGAACTTCGAGAAAAAGCTGAGAAGTTCATGTTCCAAACTGAGGTCAATCGTATCATGAAACTTATCATCAACTCTTTGTATCGCAATAAAGATATCTTCCTAAGGGAGTTGATATCCAACGCATCAGACGCATTAGATAAAATCAGACTGCTCTCGCTTACTGATAAAAATGTCTTGGATACCAATCCAGAGTTGGCAATTTGGATAAAATCCGACAAAGAGAACAAGATATTGAGCATAACTGACTCTGGTATTGGTATGACCAAGAATGAGTTGATCAACAATCTTGGAACCATTGCAAAGTCAGGAACAGCTGAGTTCTTAAGCAAAATGCAAGATACTTCCAACAATCAAGATCTGAATGATATGATCGGCCAATTCGGGGTTGGTTTTTATTCTGCATTCCTGGTTTCCCACACAGTAGTTGTTACTTCAAAACATAATGACGATAAGCAATATATCTGGGAATCTGATAGTAGCAGCTACAGTATTGTAGAACATCCTAAAGGAGACACATTGAAGAGAGGAACTAGAGTAAGGTAAATAAAAAATAATATATTTTCTTTTTTCTTTTCTTTTATGAAATTCGTGATATTAATTTTCATTTTTCGCTTAATCTTAATTTAATCGTAGCTTGCATTTGAAAGATGAGGCATTGGATTTCCTAGAGGAGGATACCATTAAAAATCTTGTAAAGAAATACTCGCAATTCATCAATTTCCCTATCTATCTCTGGAGTAGCAAGGTCGTTCAGGTAGACGAAGATGACGTGGATGAGAACGTTCCAGCTTCTAAGGAAGATGAGAGTAAGAAAGAAGAGTCTGAAGACAAGGTGGACGAAGAGGAAGATGCAAAAGTAGAAGACGCAGAGGAAGAGAAAAAGACGAAGAAGGTTGATAAAACTATTTGGGATTGGGAGCTTTTGAATGATTCTAAACCGATATGGACTCTGAAGCCGTCTGAAGTCGAGGACAAAGATTACAATGACTTTTATAAGGCATTGACAAAGGACACTCAGGATCCTCTAGCAAAGATTCACTTCGTAGCAGAGGGTGAAGTCACCTTCAAGTCTCTTCTCTTCATCCCTAAAGTACAACCAAGTGACAGCTTCAATCGTTATGGCACTAAAGCAGACAATATCAAATTGTACGTCAGGAGAGTTTTCATTACAGATAAATTCACAGATATGATGCCCAACTATTTGTCCTTCATTCGTGGTATCGTCGATAGCGACGACTTGCCATTGAACGTCTCTCGTGAGAATCTGCAGCAGCACAAACTTATCAAAGTAATTAAAAAGAAGCTAATTAGAAAGGTGTTGGATATGATCAAAAAGATTCCCAAGGACGATTACGAAAAATTCTGGAAAGAGTACAGTACCAACATCAAACTGGGTGTGATCGAAGATGCACAGAATAGAGCTAGATTGTCCAAACTCCTGTTGTTCCAGTCCTCCATACAGAAAGGCGCTACGTCACTGTCAGAGTATGTGTCTCGAATGAAGCCTAATCAACAGTACATTTATTACATTGCTGGTTCTTCCGAAGAGGAAGTGAAAAAGTCACCATTCGTAGAAAGATTAGATAAGAAAGGATATGAGGTTTTGTACCTTACCGAAGCTGTTGACGAATATGCCATTTCTGCTCTCCCTGAATTTGATGGCAAGAAGTTCCAGAACGTAGCCAAGGAAGGCTTCTCGCTTGACGAGGGAAAGAAGGCCAAGGAGAGGATGGAACAATTGAAAACTACCTTCGAACCACTGGTCAAGTGGTTGAATGATATTCTAAAGGATCAGATCAGCAAGACTCAAGTATCTGAACGTCTCACGGACTCGCCGTGTGCCCTAGTTGCTAGTATGTTCGGATGGACAGGTAACATGGAGAGACTGGCCATTTCAAACGCTCATCAGAAGACTGACGACCCACAGAAAAATTACTACTTAAACCAGAAAAAGACCTTAGAAATCAATCCGAGGCATCCGCTTATTAGGGAACTTCTGCACAGAGTGGAAATTGATAGCACTGATCAGACAGCTAAGGATATCGCGTTAATGATGTTCAGAACGGCTACCCTTCGATCTGGCTACATGCTCAGAGAAACTGCCAGTTTTGCTGACAGTGTGGAACAGCTGATGAGAAAGACCTTAGGCATTTCTCTAGACGAAGTTCCTGAAGAAGAAGAGCTGCTGGAGGAAGAATCCAGCTCGACGGAGAAACAAGAATCGGAGAAGGTCGTAGATATAGATGCGAACGAAGATGAACAAGACGAAGAAAAACACGATGAATTATAATCGAGAATTGTATCACACGTTAGATTATAATTTTCTAGTTGTATGGCTATACAATGTATAGTGATCATTATCATTGAAGGTGCAACTGTGTTGTTGCGAGCAAGATAAATTATTGTACATACAGAGAGAAAAAAAAAAGAACAGAGAAAGGATAATGATCATATCCTTTGATATTTTGCAACACTTTCACACTGTTTTTTGTAACTGTATTATTACAATCGTTCATCAAAGGATATGATAATTATTCAAGGATAAGAAAAAGAGATTTATCGCTGATTAAGTTTTTCAACACGATACAACTGTAGTTTTGTAAATTTCGTTTTTGGTAAAGATAATTCTCATAATTTATTTCGTTTGATCTTCCATTTTTTTATATAAGTAAAGCAAAAGAAATCGTCGACTGAAACTATTAAATATACATATAAATATATAGTATGTTTGATGCGAATGAATGTATTTGTATAAAGAATATTAAAAAAAAAAAAAAAAGAAATGATTATTCAAACATCGTTAATGCCTACGTTTCTTTAAGAAGTGTCAATTGATTTCAAGAAGAGTACAATTATTTAATAAAAAATAAATTCGATCTTTTTATTTTTATTAGTAAGAATGAAAAGACAAAAATGATTTCACGTTTCCTTTAGCGTAGACAACGAGAGAATTTTCGAGAAATTCTCTTACCCAATCTGCAAAACATTAAAATTTGTATTTAATTTAATTTAATTTTATTTTTTCGATTTTCTTTTGCGATTGTATACTCCGGTTTCAATTAAAATTTTTTACTATTTTTGGAAATTTCGGTCAAGTTTACGTTCACTTCGAAGAGAGCAGAATTTTATCGAATTAATGAAAGAAAATCCTACGGACAAAATGATTTGTAGCATACAAAATTTTCCCAATTTTCATAAAATTTCATTAATCTTCGTTAATTTCAGAGGATCTCATTTCTTACGAAGTGCTGCATTTGAGAGTCGCATCCCTAGCGAAAATATCTGTTTCGCCGCCCGGCAGAGAGTTTCGCATTTAAAAACAACGTTACGCTACCCACTTCCGGTAAACGCGATGGATTCTGGCGGACGATCCAATGGGTGACTTGATTCTCATGGAGCCGGGGCAAACAACGTAGATGTCCGAGCGCGGCCGAGCGCTCATTTCCGTTTTCGAATCCGACGTCACCTACTCTCAAAGCCCGTGTGTTTTGTGTTTCTTTGGGGCCACGATGATTATCGCTAATTTAACGTAAGTACTGTCTTGTTTTCGGACTACGATCGACCGTGTAATATCAACAGAGATTCGCGCGGTGTCGTTCGTATGGGAAGACTGGCCACGAAACCGCGCGAACTCCTTGCGTAAGTTTTAACAGCGGACGAACGATGCTCGCTCTCGCCATGCCGGTTCTACGGAGAGCCCCTCTTTCTCGAGGACGTTCAATTAACCGAGAAACCGACGGTGAAAATCACGGCAGACCGCTATTCGTTCTCGTCAACAATCGTCTTGGAGAAATCGATCGGCTCAATTGGGAAAAGAAAATCGGACAATACGGAATGGCCGCATATAAACAAAATAAATGGCGTCGGCATACTTGTGCCCCGAATATGACAAATCTCCGGTATCCGAGCGTTCCCATTGATCGAGGGCCGTGATCTCGATGTTTGTATATCCCGGATTGGGATGTAGAATCGAACATTCCGCTTTGAAGATTTATCTGTCATTGTATTACTAGTTGATGTAACCGTCGAGCGTTCTTCGAGTTATATCTCGAATTTATATTTCCTTTTTCTTCTTTTTTTTCTTTTCTTCTTTTTCGTCAAAGAAAATCTCAGCGGACCAAGCATGTGCGCAATCTGTCAAATGAATTTTGCAAATCGCATTCCCGATTGGCTCTTGGACGATTTATTTTTAGCCCTAAGAATAATCATAGAAAGACAGAGACAGAAAGAGAGAGAGGCACCCAATGAACAATGTTTGTGTTCCAGGTTGAAATTATTGAAACTGAAATTAGATTTCTTCGTATCTTAAAAGTATCCAAAATCGAAATCCAACAGGAACATTTGCTCGTCTAACAAGTGAAAGAAAACGAAGAAAAACATTGTAACGTTAACGTGATCAGTCAACCAAATTTAATTAATAACTGTATGTCACTAAAGAAATCTTGAGCAAAATGGGCATTCAAGATTTGCAAGTCTTTTTGGATAGTAATTACATACAGAGTGGGTCTGTACCTGTGGATCTATTGAAAATAGCACGTACTATCACACAAAGACAACATAATCGAGTTGGTAAAGCACAACAGTTACATTCGGGAAAACTAAGGCTAGTCCTTGATGGAGAATGCTGCTTAGATAGATTATACGGAGGATATTTCTCAGGTACATATATATGTATATATTTTTCTGTACAATTGTTATATTACATTATATAAAATTGTTCAATGAAATATAATTTCTTATTTAGATTGGGCTTGTGGAGGACAGTGGAACCGAATGTTGCAGTTTTTAGCTGTTCTCATACAAGCAACAGAAATGTCAGGTTTAGAATTAGCTGTATTCTTTAATGGATGTTTTGAATCTTCTCGACGCGCAGACTGGATTTTAAATCAATTGCAAATGCGAATTAAAGTAAATAACGTAAGTAATAAATTTATTCAAATGTTTGAAGTATATATTGTGACGATATTCATGTGATTGTGCATTTTTCAGGTGTTAAAACATATTTCAACCAAAGGCACTCCACCACCAAAAATTTGGTGGACCCCACCAGTGTGTTTAAGGACCAGTCTACGTATGGCTTTAAGGCATTTGAATGTTACGGTACTATGTAGTATGGATGACCATCATCAGGAAGTGATTGCATATTGCCGAGAAAACAATTTTAATGGCTTAATTGCCGATGACGCGGAGTATGCTGCGTTCGATCCTCCACGGTATTTTTCGTCTGAACAGTTGAAACTGACATACAAAGGCTCTCTCGACACCAAGGAGTATATTCTTCCAGAACTTTTAAAAGCTTTGAACATCCCTTCCGATAGACTATGCTTGTTAGCCGCGTTACTTGGAAATTATATTTTAACTGAGCATGACTTAGCCGATTTTTATAAGAAATTGAACGTCAATACCAATTTGAACAAAGTAAACGTTGAACATACGATTAAAACGATAGCTAATTTCGTTCGAGACTTACCATCGGTCGAGTTGGATGTGGTTTCGCAGAAAGTTTTTGGATCCCTGTCCGATCCGAGGTGTCCGAAACTAAGGCAATCGGTTCAGTATTATATAAATGGAACTAAGGATGGATTTTTACATTATAAACCAGTAAAACCAAATAGAGGTAAATTTCTCTCAAATCTTTATTACCTTTATTACTGTATCTTGGTTTTAATGAATCAATTATTTCAGTACACAAATTGGATTCAAAGCAGAGCGTGCAACAACAGTCGAATTTATCCGATACACCGTCAACCTCGGAGATCGATTCGAATTTAGAAACATCCAGATTTGCATCCGAAACCGTGGAAAGCGAACGCGAAAGTTTGAACGCGTACAAGCAAGCTACTGCAAATGCCAAGTCCGCACCGCAAATTGTGATAGATCCACCGGGAATTCAGGGCCACGGTGACGTTGATAATATTAGGACAGAGGAAGAACAAAACAATGGGCATACCATAAATGGCACACACAATCTTCTAATTAGTTCGTCCAGCTCGAGCAGCAGTTCTTCCGCTACGTCACCGTCTCACGCGACGGCTGATTCGTCGAAGCAAACGGAGAAAATGATGACTATTCCCAGCACGGTGCCAGAAGTGATGCGTACCGCATCCGAACGGCATCAGAAAGGCTTAATGTCTCCTCATATTTATCAGATTCTTATCGCCGGAGAAATTAAACTGCCTGTTCTTCTCGAAGATGAGAATCATCGTGAATTCCCATCGATCCATCTTATTTATAGACCCGTCAGGCAAATGGTGTATGCGATACTATTCAATCTTCATCACAGAATGTATTTAGCTGCTAAAAGTAAAGAGAAGGGAGGTGAGTAAATTTAACGTCAAATGTACCTTTAAACGAATCAGAGATACATTATTGATTAACAGATAGTGAAAAAATCGAAGTCCCAGACGTTGTGATAAAGGAGTGGGTGTGGTCAAAATCGAATCCATACATAACTCCAGAACCTGTGAAAGCGGAACAGATTGGTTGGGGTGTACCTACGATTCAACGTTTGTGGTTTGGGTGTGTATTGTTTCCTGCTTCAATTGCGGTTAGTGGAAAATAAAAAGATTCACACCGAATTTTCGTTCGCAGCACGGGCATAGATGACAAACGTCGTCGTTTACGAGGATTCTTGACTTGTATGAAGTCAGATACACCTCTTATGTTAAACACTTCCTACGTACCGCAACACCTTTTAGTTATGGCTTGTGTATTAAGGTAATTTGTATGACTCTTTCTCAAATTTAAAAATTATTTATTTAAGTATTTATTTTTATTACAGATATATTATGTCGTTTTCGGATAAAATAAAGGTTCTACGCCGTTGGGAATTAGATGCTTTCATTGCACAGGCATTTTCACCAGAGCTTATGAACGCTCAGCATTTACAAGATCTCCAGGTAACTTGAATAATTTTTTTATCAAAAGCTTATGATGGAAATTCTATATTATCTTCTTACAATATTCTATACTATTTTCTTTATGCAGCTTCCTTTAGTAACATCACGCGGAGTACAATTAGCTACTTTATTCATGGCCGGTGTTGAGACTGCTCTCTTAGCTAATGACGCTTGTGGTGCACCGATCCCATGGCTAATGTGCTGTCCATGGTTGTATTTCGATGGAAAACTGTTCCATCACACGCTAGCTCGTGCTAGAATCGCGAAAAACTTACTAGAACTCTGTGGTGGCCATATAGATCGTATCGTGAAAGTCGAGCGGATGAAAAAAGCTATATTAGAGGGTACCAACGTTATTTTCGCACGAGCACCACCAGTTGGTCCAGGTTCGTTTCTGAACAAATTCTTTACTTTCTAATATATCCTAAAGTTTGTCGTGGCTCAGTGACAAAACACATGTCTTATCAAGCAAAGGCTCCTGAGTTTGAATCTCTAGTTAGTCATTCTTGATTTTTTTCCTTCCAATACTTTAGCATACCATGCACCTTTTACTGGTATGTTTTCAGAGTGGAAGAAAAGAAAATATACAGCTGTAATATTGGTTCGTGGATTTGATGTATCATTATTTGATCTGCGAATCTCAGAGCTACATAAATTTTATTTTATTTCTTTTTATTTTTATTTATCAATATAATGTTCAATTTTTTTTACTCAATTGTCTCTTTTTTAGTAGGTATTCGCATGTCAGTACCGCAGAATATTCTGACTGCTGGATGTACCATTAACGATAGTTTAATGCGCGGAAGAGGCAGCGGAACTATGCCTCAACGTGGATTAATGCGTCGCCCAATACCGTCCCGTGGTGGACAACTAGAAATTGCTGGAGTCGTCGTTGGACAATGGGGTCCAAACTATGGACAACCCGGCCGTTTACCTCAGCCTTTACAGGGGCATCCTCGCGGGCGGCTTCCGCCACAGGTAAGCGATATCCTGCTACATAATTTACACATTATAAGATACCAGAAAACGATAAGAAAACTTTCCACTTTTATAATATCAATTGTTTGACATTTGAAAGAAAATTACTAGAGAAAATAAAAAGATTTGTTATGTGGTCAATGTATTCTGTGATAAATAAATTGATACAACGTAATATAGATATTGTTCTAAATTTTGTGTTCTTCAAAAAGACAGAAATCACAATGATATTAAAGAAAATTAGAGCTGGTTTCAGTGTAACCTTTTAAGGCGATTGTTTTAAGGTGACTTCAATTGGTGGTCTCAAGTATGGTCTCTCTCGTGGTTTCACTCCCATGGGCCGGCCCACGTTTCAGACGCGAGGGAACAACCGTACGCAAATCGCAGGTCGTGGAAAGAAGACACAAATGAAGGTAAACATCTTTGCTACCCAACTTCTTCGCTTCGTTCAAAAAAAAGATAGCGAAAGTGAATTATTGTGACAGGCAACTGGTAAAAAGAAAGCTCCGGTTAAGAAGAACAAAGAATGCGAGAACAAAAAAGACAATCGAGGGCGAGGCAATAATGTCGATGGAATAACTGATTACAAGTAAGTATATATTGTTTGAATCTGTAAATGCACAAAATAGATACATCTCTGTAAATACGTATTTGTTGGTATTGCTAGTGACTCTATTCCAAACATGAACGCAACAAAAGATGCACTGCCAGTACCAGGCCAATTCGAAGATGCCGTGGAAAATGGCAAAGGAATAGAAAAAGGGCAGGGTGACGCATCGCTGGTCGCTCCAGTCGCCGCTGAAAATTAGGTATTTATACATCACGTTTATATCGACTTTTAGACACTCCCGGATGTGACTCAAGACTGCAATCAAAAGAATCTTCTTAGAGAAAACAAGTGTGTGTAAACGAGTAATGATGCGCCAATGACATTTGAAAGTTGCAACGCAATGATTCCACGTAACGCAGTTATATTCGATCGTGCAGAAAATTGTTTTTATAAATTAAAGGAGGAGAGAAAAAGGATTTGGAGTTGTTTTTCATGTAAGTTCAGTGCTTCGAAAAAAGAAGAAAAGAGATGAGGAGTGGAAGTTCGGTGCTTTGAAAAAAGAAAATATACACAAAATTGCCTTGAATTTTCGCACAACGAAGATAATGAGAGAACTCTTCAAATGTTACGCGCAAAATTACTCAACAATGTCTAAAGCTCTGATGGGGCCAAACTAATTAAACTAATGTAGGAGAAAAAGCATCGTTAACGCGATGTCAAGATATTGTAAAACGACAAGACCCATTTCCGACATACACGATACGATGTCCTCACTGCCAAACGTACCATTCACTGTGTAGGATAAGAGCAAAAACGAACATGATTTAAGAAAAAAGAAGAAAACATAAAAAAAAAAAATACAAGGAAATCGTGCTTGTGCTAACACGAGCGTGTTTTTAAAACTACTGCTACTCCGCTCGGATCACCATAAAGATGAACTCGACTGATTAGTGTATGCGTGCGCTAATTTTACTAAGAACGAGAACAAGTCGTCAGCTGCTATAAGTATTTAATTCTTAAGAAGTGTGATTATTTTTTTTACAATGAAAATATATATTTTCCGGTATTATATGAAATGCTCGCATTGACAGTCTCAGTACTCTGATCTCTAATAACGTAGACATCAGACAGATATCTTATTCTCATTATAGACGGACAAAATGGACAAAATTTGGACTGGACAGTACATCACGAATGATTTTACTGTGTTTTGTAGATAACGTGAGATAGGATACTGAGACGTTCATTAGCAAATGAGACTGATGCTTTTCATATAGGTAAAATATATATTTATATATAATTTAGACTAGAGGTTCCCAAGTATATTATATGTAAGTTGTGAATGGTGTGTGCTTGTGTGTATGTACGTATGCAATGGAGTGTACCGTCTGTGAGATTACATGAGTGTTGTGAACGAATACTTGTTTTATTTGTGAGAATTACAATGGAAGAAAGAGAGGGAGTGAAAGAAAATACCGTACTATGAAAACGACATATAGAGAAACATAAGAAATGTATATAAACGTGGGATGTTAACGCGTGTCGGTTTACGTACACACGCGTACCACATAATAACATAAATAAAATTGAAGGTTGAAAATGTGTTGTACGCGCGTGTACGTGGCCGAATTGATATATTTATTTGCTGTTGTGTCGATGGAGAGAGGAATGAATGACTTTTGAACGAATTACAAATTTCCATGTACGATAAGAGATACGATATGTACTCGTGGGCATAACGGCGGACTAGTTGCGAGAGTAATCGGCTTGAATTAAAAAAAAAAAAAAAGACGAAGTTCTCTGAAAGAGTTACTCTTGCAGAGGTCTTCCGATGTCGCTTGGAAAATATGCTACACTGTGCGTTATCTGGTTGATTTATATTTTAATTGATAACAACAATAACAAAAGAATGATAGTTGCCTCATAGAAAAATACCTTTGTTTCGCTTGAAGAATTTTTTTACTTGTGTTTTCTATCGTTTTTATCTTTGCCTCGTCTTTTTTTTTCTTTTTTTCTTTTTTGCATTAAAATTTTAGAAATTCGTGCCTTTTGTAGCATATTTTCGAAGAGATACGATGTGTCCCTTCTTTAATTGTACATAAGAATAGTTTAGAAATGAGAGTGCGAGGTTGGTGTATATAAAAAAGGAAACCGGTAGTTTCGCACTTTTATTGCGAAGGACCGGTTCAATGTAGGAGATCATCATGTTAAAAGAAAAGAAAAAAAGAAAAATACTATTTATGTGTAGAATAGTCGAAACGACATTCTACCAAAGATCATTGGAGTTTGAAGGATAAGAGGTGGGTTCTTTTATCAGCAAAGTATACACATATAACAGAGATACAAGACAGCACGACAGAACACGATCATTTATGAGAAAGGAATGCAAATATAAAACAGAAACGATAAAAAGATGAAAATGGCATAAAGAAAGGATATGCGTCTAAAGTGCAGAGGTAATTTAGGTTGAGTAAAAGAGCGAACGAGAGAGCGAGAGAGAAAGCGATTGTGAGAGAGAGAAAACCATTTATTGAAATAATATAATGAGAGATAAGATAAAAATGTTATATTTTTGTAGATTTGTTATTGCGTAAAAAATGCATTAAGACAATGAGAAACTTTATATAATTTGAGCGATGGTTGAACTGAGCCTGAAAGAGTTAAAATGGATGACTAAGATCATAGAAAGTGTATTGTACAGAGAATGAAAAAAGATTTAAGGGGAGGGGGGAAAACATAGAGGGAAAGATGAAAAAGTGCTTTAGAAGAGACGAATAGTATATTGAACATGTTTGACATCCGTGATTTAATAAGAAAATCTCATTAATTCTTTTGTGTCTCCAAAGCTCTCAAAGTTCTGAGTTGCTTGCGAACAAAGAAAAAAAGTTTAAAAAAACAAGTGAAAACCGAAAAAAATAAAACACGAAAATAGGCAGGATATCTAAAAAAAAAGAGAGAGAAAATTAAATATCAGCTTCAATATGAACTATACCAGTGTATGCATATAATAAACAGTTTTCCTAACGCGATTTGAAAAATACCATGATATTTACGAAAAAAATAATGAAACGAAATAAAAAATCCCTGGTGAATGGAACTGTGTACATTAAAAAAAAAAGAAAAGAATAGAAACAAATATTGCTATCATTTAACAACTTTCAGTTAATAATACACGTTCATACGCACTGTTATTTTCCAAATGCAGTATATGATATACTATAAAATATGCACCGACGTATATAAAAATGAAAAAAAAAGAAGGAGAAAATGATGGGGAAAATGACGTACATCTTTGCAATTTAAAATTAAAACGACGCAAATCGCTCACGAACGACTAACCAACATAATAATAATAATAATGATAATATTAATAATAATAATAATAATAAGAATAAGAATAATAATAATAATAATATTACACTAGAGGCAGAGAGACGTTTCAGATCCGACGGATGAATATTTGAGAGTAAAATGCCACTTTACTCTTTTCGTGTAAAGGTAGATTTTCTTTCTGAGAAATCGATCATCCTGATATACGCAAACCGGAGAATACAAAATATGTAATAAAACAAGGTAAAAAAAAAAAAAAGAAGAAAATGAAACGATAAAAAAGAAGAGACATAATATATGTAACCGTATGTAGAAAAAAACATAATGGTACACAACGATCAGTTGCTGCTGCACTGATATGAAGTAACGCAATAAATATGTATGAAATAATTTAAATATAACTAAATATTGAAGCGAAAGCCAAGCAAAGCCACGAATATGGAATATAAACAAAAAACGTAAAAAATGAAAAAATGGAAAAGGGGGGAAAATAAAGAATGAATAAAAGGAAGTAAAATATATACGAAAATCCATATTATTGAAAAAAAAAAAGAAAAAGAAAAACAACACAACAGAGCAGAAGTACCGCAGAAATAATAAAATAAAATATGCAAAAGAAAGAAGTGGAAACTTGCGTAAAAAAAAAAAAGGAAACGGTGAATAAAATGATCGACGTAAAAAGAACAGGTGCGCGCCTGACTCGTGCCTGCTTTTTCGTTGTAATATGTAGTAAAAGAAAAAGAAGACAAATGAAATAACAAAACATGCAAAATAATAAGGGGCCCACGAAACATCATTAACGAGATAGAGGAAGTATCCGTACGAGAATGCGAAACAAAATAAGCCAACATATAAAATGAATTAATCTCTCTTTATGTATTTAGAAGAAGGAAAAAAAAAGGAAAAATCCCATTTATAAACTCGATCTTCGAACATTGTGTGTCATCGTGGTAAAATGGAAAATTAATTGTATTTCGAAGTAAGGCACATCTTTAAACTCTTGCTATGTAACAATGATGATAATGATGATACAATGATAATGATGATGATAATAACGATGATGCTGGAATATTGATGATGATAAATGCTTAATAAGTGAGAAACGGTCGAACGAGAATGTAAATTAAGCGACTATATATATATATTGTTTCTTTTTTTTTTCTAATGTGTAGAAGAGCACTTTTATTGTAAATCAAAGCGTCAATTTCCAGCCGGCTGTTCTCTCTTTCGTTTTTCACTTTCAATCAGTGTTACAGTTGTAGTTTCATTTGAGTAAATTTCGATTTCATCGTCGATGCAGCAAAATAGCTAATACAACTGAAAACAAGGCATGATTTGTCATGTCCTCTAATGTGAAAAAGTCATGGAAAACTTTCGCTTCTTCTCTATCTGTTTAATTTTATTTTTTTTTTTATATATTATGTTCTCTTTTTCATTATTATTATTCTTTCGTTCTTCGTTTGATTTGTAATCACATTGTAGTAAAGTCTTAGGTCTTTTTGCGAAAGATTATACATATATATGTATATGTACATAGGGAAAAAAATATAACGTATAAAAATGGAGCAGATCATTTAATTTCAACGATTTGTTTTAAATGATTGCCACAAAAAAAAAAAAAAGAAATCGATGAATAATAAGTTTATGTTATTACTTCACTCTGTATCTCCATAGAAGCACGCAACCGATAGGCATTAAAAAAAAAAAAGAAAAGAATGTCTGACATTTCCTTCTGATTTCTTTTTTTTTTACAATGTACGCTATACTTAATAGCTTCGTGCTAGTAGGATATCAGAATTTCCGAATAGCAACGCAATAAAATGAAATTACAGCGTAGAGTGCCCCTGATCAAAAAAAGAAAAAAAAAGAAAAAAAGAAAAAGGAAAAATGAAGATGATATTGAGTTGCTATAACTATGCTACGATATGTAAATTTTAAGTTTCTCTTTTTACCATAGTTTTTCGCTTGCATATCCTATTAACAAGATATATTAAAAGTACAGTAGCAAATACAGTAAATAAAAAAAAAGTATTAATAAAGTAAAAAACCAAAAAAAGATGAAGTAACGAATTAAACACTTATCAATGTAGCTGCAAATGTATGTGGGCCCCGTCTTTATATATTCTTATTAAATATTACATAACGTATATTCTGCTATTATTTTTCATAGCTAAAGAGAGCAACAAGAACAATGAAAGAAAGAAAAAGATAATACGATTTAAAAAAAAAATACCAAGTGCGTACACAGAGGGTAATCCTTGTATGTTACAATTTATAATCATTGTACGTTTAATATTTTTTTCTGTTTTACTCTCTTTTTGTTTCTGTAATACGTAAAACAACAAGATAATTGCTGAATCAAGTGTGTAGTGCAATCAAGTGTAATCTTTTGCGCAGATAAAAATATGAAAAGAAGAAAGAAAAAAGAACAAGTAAAATTGTACATGCGCTATGATTTTTGTCAATGGTCGCATTATTTTCAACCTATATGGGTCGGTAGGTGGTAACTTTTTGGAACAATAGAAAAATAAAATTGCCATATACATACTTCAAACTACTATTTATTAGCGTGACGCTGTTATAGCATGATGATTTATCGTTGGATCTGTGTAAGAGAGAGCCAAACGAGATATTATTTATACATGCATTTTTGCTGTAGAAGTTAACAAACAGAATGGTGCGCAAAATTTCTGTATCCAAGAAACAATACGCTGTATTAGTTGGTAACTTGCAGATGTGTTTGGAAATGTTAGGAGTACCGTCTGGCCGACTCATTTAGTTGTTGCATTTCTCAATAATACACTGTTACATCAATGTATTCTTGTTGAATTATTCTATCTTGTAACTTACTGTTGTAACATATACCCCATTCATGTCTAGTGTCAAGCAGAGCTGATTCTATGCTTTTGCTAGTTAAAAAACCAGGGCAAATATGTTTTCAAGCGAAGGAAAGGGGGGGGGGGGAGAAAGCGGAGCGCGAAAATTTAGTTGATTATTTGTACGTTTGAAAGGCAATGGGACAAGTTTCAAAGAATTTTTCATACCATTGATATTGATTTAGAAACAGGCGTGTGGAAAGCAAATCACAAAACTAAGTAACGAACGGAAGAATCAGTGCTGGCGAAAACACGAGGCAACCGAAAATTATTATAAAGCTAAAAAAAAATGTCACATTTAAGATACTTTTAAAGCGGATACATATTTGGAAAGTAGGAGGTAATCATTGTATAAATGTAGTGGCAACTCTATAATACTACAGAACAAAAAAAAATCAATATATTCAACAATTATTCGAAATACTAAATGCAGAATGCACTTTAATGGATGTTGTAACAATTTAGAGTATTCAAATTGCATCAACATTTTACTGTAAATCTGTTCTTTGGAACGCAACTGCTCTGCTAGCTGAACGGATGTTTTTTTTGAGGATACAAAAAAACTAATAAAATCACCTAAAAAAAAAAAACAAAAAGAAAAAAAAGACAATGATTGTGTATTGGGAAACAAGGAATGCTGTTTTTCTTTATCCCCAATGAGCAGAGAAGTTTCTCCAACGACAGATATTTTAAGTTTGTTTCTTTTGAAGAAAAAAAAAGTATATATATATTTATCTTCGTTTTTCTTGTATAAATGCAATTACACGACACACATGCAAAGTAAAGAGAACGGCAATGGTTCATAGAGATTCTCTGTTGAGTTGAAGAGGAAAATAATGAAAGTTTTGCAGAACACGCTGCACGGTTCGTTATAGAGGAAACAAACTTTCTGTGAAGATTTTGTAAAGAAAGTTGTTCGTATGAGAGGTTCTCGGAGATGGTTGGCTGACATTTTCGGAAGTTTAATGATTTATTAAAACGTGTTGTCATGTCTTGAATACAATTAAAAGAACTATAAAAAGAAAGAAAATGATAATTTTGTGAATTCATCTTCTATTTCATTTCCTTTTTATCAATGCGCGCTATCTTCTTCAATTTAATAATCCAGCGTTACTGTCGAAATTACTATTATTTTGTTATTTTATGAAAAACGCAAATTGTAATAAGAATCATTAAAATTATAATTTGATCTCGAGTATTCATTTAATTAAACGAGATAAAACGAACGATTAATAGCAGATCACATGCGTTATTTGTTTGTTCCAGTTTTTCAAAACTTTTTCAAACATGACTATTAATTTCATTAAAAATATTTAGTATCATAAAGCGGTGTGAGTTACAGGATAAATGTACAGCTGGTTTTTATACTCCTCGATGTTGGTAATATGAAGCGCGGATTTGTCAAGCTCCGTGGCAGGAACGTAATTCAGTGAATATTTCACGTCCCCATGTTTTTTTATTTTTGAATTAGCTGCAAAAAAAGTGAATAATATTTTAATTCAACAATGCGATATACAGTACGATGCAAAATTGACGCACTTACAATCAGTTGCATTTGCCTCGATATCTTTGTTATTCTCTGTATCCGTATCGGCTGAATTTGCGGTTCCAACTACTTGTACGCTTAATTTCCTGAAATTACTCCCGTTAAGTGTATGAGATCTCATCCATTCCCTTAATTCGTCGATCTTTATGTGTTCAATCATATTCAGTTCTTTTTCTATTTTATCAAACATGTAATCGCCACTTATAATTTCCGTCCAGTTCCTATCAACTTCTTCTTTCAAATGTATATCCGCGCATTGTTTCAATTTTATTACTGCTTCTTTGACACTATCCAAATCGTCCTCCGAGGTTTCTTTCAAGATGTTGTTAAACATCTCCAAAAACGCTTCTATCCTCTGATCCACAAATTCGGTGCTGTACTTGTCTGCCTGAGTGTATACTGTGACAGTATAACCGAGGATACCGAAGGTATCCTTTAATAAACAAAATACATTATAACCAAGTTGCTCGAGCGTTCTGAGCTGATTAAAAACAGGCTCTTCCATAATCATCTAAATCAAGGAGATATTTATTACACAATGTATAATATAATGCAAGTGATACTATTTAAATTTCTACTTACAATTAACAATTCGATAATAACTAACAATCTAATGGATGAAACCTCGGATTGATAGTAATTCATCACAACGGAGTTCACGTCAGTACTGTTGAAATTCTTTACTTTGCAATAATGCGAGCCGATTGGTATTTGCGCCACTCTCATTTGTGGCATAGTATTTGGCAACAACGGGCCACACTTCAATGCCTTTACACACTCTTGAACGTTTTTAATCACGTCTTCCTTCGTCATGTTACCTTGTACCAAGCACTGAATATAAATGTGATCAGTAAAATGTTTGACAAAGTTCTGGAACTCGGAAAACTCTACGTTACGAATGGCAGCGTGTTTGTCCGTGGCCGTCCAATGGACAAGCATTAGGATTGATAATCTCACGTCTCTGAAACATTAAGGAAAATATATAGATGTAGGTTGTAAGACTCTGCAAGAATTCACTACCTACCGAACTAATCTTTTAGGTTTCACAAAGCTGTTGTAGTATGTTTTAATTTCTTCTTCCTTCATCACTTCGAAGAACTCTTTAGTTATTAGCGTCGGAATATCAGCTATGCAGTTTGCAATGGTCATCAGCAAAAGCTAAAAACGAGAATAAAAAAAATAGAAAACACTAAATGAGTAATTATTTAAAAAAAAAATTATTGCAAGCGTTCTTACTGGTAACTTCTGACTGAATCCATTCACTTTAAGCACAATACCCTTTTCGTTTGTGTAGATATCGTGGTTCAATTCAGCAACTGTAGCTGGGTATAATGTTTCCACTAACAATTGCTTCAATATGGCAACAAATAAATCCATTATAGCTACACTGAAATTTTAACGATCTCTGTCAACAAATTCACATATATTTTTCGCGAAGATTCCTAATATTTACCCTTTCAGCGAACAAACAGCCATCGGTGATATGATACAAAAATACATGTAACATTCGGGCAGGCCGAACTTCGGATCAGGCCGATACCAAACCTCTGTTATCTCGTCTGAATAAATTTTTGTGGGATACTTCGGAACACCAGGTGGTATCGAAATTAAACTGAAATCGTCCGTGATGTACATATTGGCCAATGGTAAATGAAATTCGGGAAAAGGTTCAATAGTTCTCCAACACTCTATCCACTCTTGCGAGATCTCCGTGTCCGTGTATTTAGTTTTAAACCAAGGCTCTATTTTGTCAAACTCTTCGTCATTAAATTTCTTATCAAAAATTATAATGTTTACATCATCCGGTATTAAATAATTTAGGCAAGTTTGTATAGCCTCTGGATTGTATTCGAAATACAATTCGCTTCCGGTGATATAATCACGAGGAGGATAATAGTGCATGTTTTCGCACAAGTCTTCCACGTATTCCGCTGGCGGTGACTCGTCTGTAAATCTGCAGAGAAAATCTTTTTCGTTTTTAATGACTCTAATTATTACTTAACTTCATCGATTACTTTGATTCACCTGAAATTCATTTCCTTGATTTGATGGATTTCATCGTAAATCTCTTTCTGGGGGCCTTCTCTGCGCATTAAATTGATGAACGAAAATACAGCGTTCAGCACCTCCGGCAAATGTTTGTGCCCTTGTTCAGTCAGCATCAAAGACAAACTGAACAACGCGTACATCGAACTGTGCTCGAAGCCGCTTTCTCCGTTCCCGCAAGTAATACCGAGACACCACATCTTCCTCCTTAAGTAACTGATCAAAGAACCCTTTCCTTCATATCCCAAAATCCAGGAAACATATTGATGCGGTTTGCTTCTGTACAAATCGTGAAGAGGTGGCATGCACCATGTTAATTCTACCTGCAAACGAAACAATATCAATCTTCGATCCTTCTACTTTCGTAAAATCACGAAGACGTACCTCGCAAACATCTTTTATAGGCTTTATTTTATAAATTCGTCTAAAACTCGGCGTGTTGAAGGAATCTACACCCTTAAACGAACTAAAATCGTCAGGTGATAAATCATTATTTGGTACATTCGCAAAACATTGTATTACATAGTCTTCTAACACGTCCAGTGGAAGTCTGGCCTGCAAAAATTGAGAAAAAAAATTTGCAAGTTAACATTGCATCTTTGCGTAAAGTAAATTTTGTTTTTGCAAAGAAATGCACTGACTTGTATGGCAAGTTTCATTCGGTGAGCACTGTAGTGACGCTCCCTGAATTTGTGCAACTCCTTGTAGAGCTTCTCATCCGTTACGTTGTCTCGTAACGTGATTAAATTACCCCAACAGAACTTCGTAGCCGGATGATTCGGCTGTGCAAAGCTACTGAACAATTGTTCTTTTCTACAAAAATCAGAGGGTAAGGCCATCTGAAACTCTATACAGATCGTTTAATCTTGATAAATAGTGCTAAACTAATTAATTTCACTGTGACGAACATCTCTGATCACGTACCGCTTTCCACGGATTCACGTTCTCTCGTTATAGCCTCTTCCTTCATCAGAGGTTTGATAAAAAATTGAGCAAACCGATCAAGGGCAGCTAGAAGGTGTTTCTCTTGTATCTCGAAATAGAATGTCGTCAACTCACATTCAGTGGATGCATTGTCCGACCCACCTCTTTTTTTAATGAATGTATCGAAATCATTTTCCTGTTAACACATGCAGAAGTAAGACAAAAATCCACAGGAATTGCAGCATCTTTTCAAGATAAATATACCTCGGTGTATTTCTCTGATCCCATAAAAACCATGTGCTCCAGAAAATGCGCCAAACCCGGGATTTCTGGTGGGTCGCTGAAGCTTCCCACACCCACTGACAATCCACATGCTGCCTGCGTAAGAAACATGCGTAGCAGCACACTGAGAATATATATTCAATAATTCACATATCTCGTATACGTCGAGCACTGTACAATAAGATTCTCAACGAAAGATACCATTTTTTCTTCCCCTTTCGTCGACTTGGGGCACGGACAAGAGTCATCAACATCCTTGTCGCAGTCTGACTGATCGTCCTCCGTATCGCTCTCTTCTCCGCTCTCCTCCTCATCCTCTTCGTTGTCAGTCTCCTCGTCGTCTTCCTTCTCGCTTTCGGTGATTACTGCATTTTCTGCTCAATACCAAATATTTACACTTTTGTAAATCATCAGATTTCAAGCAAGAGAAGGAAATAAGAGAAAAATCTGTACAAAAAGTACAGAGAATGTACAAGAAATACATTTTCTGTGTACATTCTTTTCCTTTACCTTTATCAGCACATTCATCATCCTCGGTACAGAAGGAATGTAGGTCAGCAATTAACAAAGCAGTCAGGCCATTCTCCAACCTAATTACTCTGTGAAATTCAACAAAATGAAAGAAATATATGCACATATATATATGGCTGTACTTTTATCTCTTACCTGTATTCTTTCTTATCATTCTCCGCCTTAACAGGTGTTTCCAAGTACACGACCTTCTCCCGTGGCTGTCTCGTGTCGCAAACTGAAGTCTCTTGCTTTGAAACGCACACAGACGTTTCCTGCGTTTGATTCTCCGCTTGCACTTTGTCGATGATCATCGTGTCCGTATTGAGGTTATGTTCTATAGAGAGACTGGAGTTTTGCGCCGAGCTGACGGAACCCTGGTTCGGTTTCAATTTCTTTTCAGGCGGGCTCTGGAGCGATCTCTTTGGCATTATCAACGCGCAGGGCCGTGTTTTAATTGTACAGTGGAGAACCTTTGTGAACAGGCACCTCATCAACTGTATCACCATACGCAACAGAACTTGCCCCTAACCTTACTTTTCATTTTTGTTGAACGCATCAACAGTTTAAATGGATACTTCCATCTTCATCTGTTCATATTATACGTATGTACGTTGTCCTTGTATCCACAGAATATCTTAAACGTTGATCTCTTTTTTCCTTTTCCAGATCGCAGAACGTACGTCTATTTTGTTGAAGTTAATTTATTTTCTTTTTGTAACGCTCTTTACAAATAGAAATAATAATCGTCATAATTTTTACTATTCATGTTGAACGTATTATATAAAATTAAGATTATGTAATAAAATTTCACTTTTCTTTTTACGATTATTGTTTATTTACATATATATATATTATTATTCAATCTTACAAGTGTAATTCGTAAATCTTTATTCAGGAATTTTATAGGTTAAGTGAAACATAAGCTTAACTGAAAAGATACGACCGCAAAAATGTACTTATTTTGGAGTTTTCAAAAATAAAAATATTGTCGATGACTACGGATTTTGAAAAAACCAAGACCATCCTTGTCTGCCGCGCTTATATATATGTCCTTGTCGCACGTTGTTTCTCTCCTTGTCTGCTGCGCGTAAATGTCCTTGTCGCGCGCTATTTCCCTCCTTGTCTGCCGCGCGTATATGTCTGTCTTGTCGCACGCTATTCTATCCTTGTCTGCCGTGCGTATATGTCTATCCTTGTCGCATGCTGTTGCTCTCCTTGTCTACCGCGTCTATATGTCTGTCCTTGTCGCACGCTAGTGCCCTCCTTGTCTAACGACGCTAGACAAGGAAAGCAATAGTGTGCGACAAGGACAGCCTTCGATCTATTGAAAAAAAAATTCGACTTTTTACACACACGTTTTTCTAGGACAAAACACACATAGAAAGAAAGCGGGGAGCTTAATTTTAAGGAGACATATAAAAAAGTTCGCAAATCATTCCTCTTAATTAGGTTTTTTCGTAATTAGTGCGAACTGTCACAAAATGGACATGGTGGCGCCATCTAGCGGCAACACCGCGATACTAATTATTTATAAAAATACTTATTTTTGCATTTTGCGGGTCAAATGAGGTATGAAAAGAAAGCTAAGGGTCTAATTAGGGTAATGCAATCGCCAAAATTTACAATTCATTCCGCTAAATTAGGTTTTTTCGCAAATGAAAATTTCTCTGTTTTACGGGGTAAGAAACACTAGCGCCGCGTTGTGGCAGATCAGTGGAACTAAACGCTCTGTAACCATATAAGAGGAATAATTAATTTTAATTTTTCACGCCACAAATTTGCACTCCACGAGCACATATTTGAAAGATAATGCTATCAATTACATTCGCAAATAAATCTGAATCTAATATTCCCTATAGTTTGCGCGAAATTATGCACTCACTACTGGCACTACTACTAACGTAAACGAAATTCAAACATTCCTTATATACGTAATTATACTTAAACAAAACATAGAAGCTAAGGATCTCTGAAATCAAAGACGCAACCATAACAGTTCACAAATGATTGCTCCTAATTAATTTCTTCTCGTAATTTGTGGGAAAACTGTCACCTGTCAATGGTTGGAGGCGACGGTGGCGCCATCTATTGACATCTCGGTGGTACTAAAAACAGAATTTTTTTACCTTTAGTACCACCGAGTTGTCGATAGATGGCGCCACCGTTGTCTCCAAACATTGACAGGTGACAGTTTTTCCACAAATTAAGAGAAAAAATTAATTAAGAGAAATCATTTGTGAATTGTTATGGTTGCGTCTTTGATTTCAGAGACCCTTAGCTTGCGCTCTATGTTTTGTTTAAGTATAATTTACGTATATANCTCCCCGCTTTCTTTCTATGTGTGTTTTGTCCTAGAAAAACGTGTGTGTAAAAAGTCGAATTTTTTTTTCAATAGATCGAAAGCTGTCCTTGTCGCACACTATTGCTTTCCTTGTCTAGTGTCGTTAGACAAGGAAGGCACTAGCGTGCGACAAGGACAGATATATAGACGCGGTAGACAAGGAAAGCAACAGCGTGCGACAAGGATAGACATATACGCGCGGCAGACAAGGAGAGAAATAGCGTGCGACAAGGACAGACATATTCGCGCGGCAGACAAGGAGGAAAATAGCGTGCAACAAGGACAGCAATATACATTAGTTCCACCATTTCACCGCTACGCGGCGCCTGCGTTTCGATGCCTCTAGTGGCGCCAATATTTAAAAGAGCGAATTTAATAGTGACGCTAATTTAAAGCGAAGAACGAAAATAAGAAAGCAAAAAATATTTTGTATTTTCAATTAATAATTAATCAAAGCAAATGATTGATTATAGTATATAATGTAAGGCTGTGCAGCATATAAGCCAAGCATAGGCCGGAAGTTAATGAATAAATAAAAAGAAAGAAATGGATTAATTATTATTTGAAAGAAGCCAATTGAAAGGATTAATTTGTAAATTTTTGTAATTGTGCAACTTCTCAAAAGTCTTTTCCTTCCTTTTTAGATTTCATTTAAGCCATGAAATGTATAAATGAAGACCTACAAACTCTTCGAAGTATCTGATAACTTCTTGCAAACTATACTTGAAATTCGAATGTTACGCAATAAGTTTTGCAGATAGGTTTTCGTACGAATCAGTTACTAACAGTTATTACATGTTTCGTTGTTATGCAACTGCAACGAATAATAAATAAATTTATGCCATAGAATAAATTTATGACCCTTTTTTATTTTTATAACGCAGTGTCGGAATTCAAGGAAGATTATGTTTATTTAATAAAAAGGATAACTCCAAAATTACTCCAATTGGAACGATTAGGAAAACACGATTATACATTCTGCTAGTGATCACAAGATATTATATAAGATTTATTTTTCAATTTCGTTTCTGTTATTGTAATATCACAATCAAATTTCGTTGCAACATACATCGTTGACAATAAACAAAGAAATAAACTGTACATTTTTATTTATTTGTAATGAATAACTAATATATTTATAATGCGCTATTAAATATTGATATATTTATTAACGGTAGTTTATATATTAATATAGTTATCAATACATTTACAATTAATATATTTATATTATATTATGATGTAGTATATTACACTACATATACTGCTACTAAATATTAATATATTTATTAACGTTAATTTATATATTAATATAATTGTCAATACATTTATAATTGATATATTATATTACAAGGTACTATATTAAAGTACATATTATCATATAATATATTAATATATTATATTTATTGATATATTTATCAATATTAATTTTGTTTATTGATAAATAATGAGGAAGGCTTTCTTGGTATTAGATAATTAATTTCTCTTTACTAAAACAGAAGATAAACAATATCTTGCATGAAATAAAAACGCAATTTTTTTATTCGAAACCAATAAATTCCATATAAGTACGTGTTAAACCTCCAAATCAAGAGGTTTTCAGATTTTTCTGCCAGCTAACTCTATACACAGGTGTCGACGGTGAGGTATTTTCTGTCACTTATTACTCAAGTTGCATCAAAAAATGGAAGGAGCAACGTCGAAAGACGAGAAACGAGTTACCCTCGATTGAATATTTCATTCTGTTCGACGATAGATTATTATTTAAACTTAACCTATAAATGTTTGCCCCTACTTCTAACATAACCTATAAAATTCCAATCGTTACAGAAGAATGGCGAGGGAACCGGACGAGGAGCTGAGGAAGGCTTTTTCACAGCTGCACGAGAAAATGATCGACACCACACAAAAGTTGAAACTAGCGGATCTACAGATCGAGAAGCTAAAACGATCGAAGCAGTTTGCCGAGCTGACAATGAAGGAGATAACCTCCTACCCGAAGGACACGAAGACATATGAATCGGTGGGCCGTATGTTCCTCCTGGATGACATGGACAGTATAAAAACCGGCCTAGATAAACGCATGAAAAACGCCGACGAGAAGGTGAAAACATTAGAGAACAACAAGACGTACTTGCAGCAGAACTTGAAGGAATGTGAGAACAATATCAGAGAAATGATTCAACAAAGACAGAACAAAGACACGTCCGGCTAGACCTTGTAGTCATTTCCCTGTCGAAATTGTCTTCTTTTCTGTGTTTCTTTCATTGCAATTCATTCTATTACTGTGTTCTTGAACTCACGCTACACTTAATTCACAATTCCATCAATCCTCAATGTGAATGAAACAACCAATTGTGAATGAAATGTATGAACGCAATGCGTATTGTTTCATTGTATTTAGACAAACTCCACCACGGCATTTTGTAATGATTATTTATTGTCTGCGCGTTAATCAATAAAACTTTTTATTACAACTCTTCGGCGCATTGGAATTGAGTACGCAACTAGCAATCAGGTTTCTAGTTATTAATTTATTCCAGCAGAATTGATACATACAACAAACGATTTTTCTTACTTTAAATTCATCTTGTGCTCATTCATTCCTCTCATTCTTTTCAACACTTTCATCCGGAAAATTCCTTAGCTAAACCCTAAATTACCCTAGAAAACAAAAAAAAAAAAAAAACAAAAAAAAANAAAAAAAAAAAAAAAAAAAAGAAAGGAATTCAAACTGAAAGTTCGACTGTTAAAAGTGTCTACGTACGAAGAATCTCGTCTATTCGTGTGAGAATACCCATGCATTACAATAGCACGTATAGTCGTATAAGAAACGAACTCTCTCGGATGCAACGTGTGAATGTCAGTCTTAACTAAAATAATTACCATTGTTCGTCGTGTGTGGTGCTCTTACGTCTCCGATGACGATACCCGGTATCATTTGGCATTAGGGGTGCGCGGGTACCCGAAATTTCGGGTTCGGGTTCGGGTCGGGCTCGGGTGGGTAGACCGACGATTTCGGATCGAGTTGGAAAAAGTTCAAGGGAGACATATCCAACTGTCTCCCAATATTATCCAATGTATTTCGCATTAATAAATATACTTCTGAAATTAACTTAGGAGCACTTAAACTAGGATTCACTTTTATTTTTCTTAGAATAATGCGTTTGAATAATCTCGAGTGTTAAGTTTTCGTGGCCGACCTTTCTGAGGAATTGATTCAATTCGGTCTTCATCATTGTATCTCCGTACAATATCAGCCACGGTACTCTTTTACTTAATTTTAAAATATGACCGATTTCTCGATACGTTTCTCCTTTTTCTCGGTGAAAAATAACTAATGACTATTGTCATACGTCAATAAATCGAAAGACGAGTTAAAACAACGATTAATCGAAGAACGGAAGAATATTCCGCTAGAGATATGCCTAGACGTTGATAAGACGATATGTAATTGAAGTTAAGGGTTACCTAACAAAATATTAATTATTGTTTATGTTAACAATTTTCAGGTTTAAATATTATAGTTCTTCAAATGTCCGAATATTTATGCCACACTATATTTCGACATAATTCAATTTATTGTTTGATATTAAGAAAAGTATGTGCAATAAATAAATAAAATTCATGTTACTATAAACTATAATGAACGTTCTAATATATTATTAAAAAATTAATCCAAACTTACTTATTATAAACAATTGAAATCCACAACAATATTTTGAATATTAATGATGTCCGAATATTAATAAGAGTCACTGTATTTTGCCGATGGTTTTAGTGCTAGAAATATAGACATTAGTTAGTGGAAATGCAATACAGCCAGACTTTTAGCTGCAAAAAAATTTCTGCCACTCAAACTACTACTATTTTCCTTATCCGGAAATATAATAACACCAACTCGAGTGAAATTAATATCACAAAATGTTGAGCAATTATCTTTTTTACATTATCATTTAGAGTAAATATTATTACATTTGAAGGAAAAAAAATATATTTATATTAAATATTATGAATAATTGATTTCGATAACGCAATATAATCCCTATCATATCCCATTTGAACTTTTTCCAACTCGATCCGAAATAGTCGGGTTGCCTGAAATCTTTGCCCGAGTTCGCCCGACTTTGTGTAAACCTGACTCGAACAGTCGGGTACCCGTAATTTCGGGTATCCGCACACCCCTATTTGGCATGCGATCCGTGAATCGAGACTCTTGTATATTCACGCATACCGGGTGGACAGGCTTTGATTAATTAAGTTTCTCCGGCATTCGTCAAGATAAAACATCGTTGCAGGAAAAAGAAGTTGCGAATAAATTATACCGTCCGAATTAATTAGCGCACCTTACGTTTAAACTGCGTTAAATCCGTGTAAATCTATATTGGTTCCTTAAATAAGTTGTTACCTTTGTTTCTATTAAGTAAAATGTAGTTATCGTGTTACGATACGATACACACACGTCGGTCAATGAAGAAATACAAATCATACTCTTAATTAGCTTAAGAAAATAATTTATGCCGCTTTCTACAAGGACCGTATATGTATAAATAAAAA